CAACAGAAAGGAAAGAAATCCATTTCTAGAGCGGACTTCAGCTGGTGAATCACAGAAACAAGGACTAAGTTAGGTGGGTCAGTTAACATGGCTGGTCGTTTTAGTCTCCAGTTTTAAGAGCAGGCTCAAAAGAGATAAAGCCTGTACCGGTATCACCCACAAGGGGGCAGAGTACGGCTTTCGGTACTGCAGACCTCATAACCAGCTACAGGGAAAATGAGGCTCACGAGACAAACTTCCTCTGAATACAAAAGTGGTACGGCAAGAAAAATATCTTAAGGAGCCAATGAAAGGGAGACGTAATGAAATAAAAAATATAATAAATAATAACAAAGTTTGACTGCATTGCTTTGTGGAAGCGTTTTTGATTAAAAGGCCTTTTCCTCTTAAAATCTCATTTGTATTTAATTTTCCTCTGGTCTGTAGTGCTGTTTATCCATCACTATTGATTCGGTGTGAGATTCCCAGTTTCCGACATATCAGCTCTGCAGCCGTCTTGCTTACTCTTGGATTTAATGGAACTGAATGGCACGACACCTTTGGAGCTAAAAGACACACACACAAAAAGAAGAAGAAAAAAAACATGAAAGAAGGAAAATATCCATCCATCCATTTTCTGCCGCTTATCTGGGTTCAGGTTACAGAGGCAGAGGTCTACCCAGAGGCGCCCAGCCTCTCATTGGGTTCTTCATTGCATTCCCAACCAGCTGAGCAATGTAATCTCCCCAGCGTGTTCAGGTTCGCCATGGGGGCCTCTTCCCAGTAGGACATTGTGTAAAAAAAATTAAATAAAAAAATCCAGAACTACCTCAACTGGCTCTTTGTGATGTGAGCTCCACATCCTACTGCTATGGGAGAGCGCAGACACCTTTCAAATATCTGTTATCTCATTCTTTGGCTTACTACCCACAGCTCATGACCACAGGCAAGGGTGAGAATGTAGATTAACTGGTAAATCGACAGCTTAACTTTTATGCTCAGATCTCTCTTCTTCAAAGCACACTGGTACGGCCCGTACCACACCCATCCCTCTGTCAATCCCCCGCTCCTCTATTCCCTCACTTGTCGGTTCAAGACCCGGGACACTTAAACCCGTCCCTGACCCAGAGTGCACACTCCACCCTTTTCCAGCTGAGAACCATGCCCTCAGTCCTGCAAAGTGCCTCACTGCCTCAAGACACATCATCTACCAACAGCAGAGAGGTGATCCTGAGGTCACCAAACAAGAAACCCTCCACCACTTGGATGGATTTATAAATTAATAAAAGTTATGAACAGAATCTGTGAAGAAGGGCAGCCAAAACCCATCGAGAACGCATCGGAATTCCTGCCAACAGTGCAAACCACAGCCCATAACAGCCTGAAAGATAAGGAATAGCCACATCATGACCTGGTGACACAAAACAAATACCCCGATTTTGTCATGAGCAGTTTCGTTTAGGAACAATTTTATTTTCTATTATCTACATCTGCAAAAGAAAAGAAGCAGCTTAGCTGTTGTGGAGGCTTTTAATGATTACATCGTGAGCCTCTCGTCATTTGTCGTTGGATGCTTACTTCTGCAGAGGGATATGGTTGGCAAACGTTGACAGAAGAATGATGGCAATAGACAGTAGAATAAAAGGTTTAGGACTTTGTTTGAGAAACTGGCTCATGATTGCTGATGACCTTTTGAAACGTATTATTTTAAACATTCCATGTAGCTCCATAATAAGGATATTTGAAATCGGGCAACTCACATCAAGATGATTTCGATAAAAAACAAACAAACAGCACAACAGACCAGAGGAAAACTACTGAATGAACTGAATTTGAATTTGCTCCTTGAATTATTTTAATCAGTTACTCAGCCGAGTGGTTTCCCTAAGGACATACTTATCTTTATAACCATTCTGTGCATTTACAAACAGATTTTGATGTGAAAAGAAGCTGTTATCACAGGCATCACCTGTGACTGTGTATTCCTCTTTTTATATCCATGATGGAGGCAGCTCTGCCTGCACGACGACGAGGACAGCAGAGACATGTACAAAGAGCAGCGGACCACACTAACAAGCGCATGTTTGGACCCCCGGACCCCCCCGCCCCACCACAAAAAGGCCAGACTGAAAGCTTTTAGTTTCAAGGCATCACAGATGCAACAACATGTTGGAAATAAAAACACAACAGACGTGTCCAACGACTGATTATTCTAAATGCTGTATAACAATCTGAAATACTTTTTTTTCCTTTAGGCACAGTGATGTTCACCTGACATTATCTGCTGGGACATGAGGAAAAATTTAAATTCTTATATTCATTATAAGAAATTATCCCCTTTTTAAAAAAACAAACAAAACAAAACTCAATGCAGGACAAAGAATCAATCCTTGGGGAGTTTGAAGCATCCATCCTCTTTTCATCCACCTTGTCTCTGGATTCGTTTCGAGGCGAGTGCAAACAGGTGTAGGTGGGAGTGGTCACAATTCTTCATCCACCTGTTTCTTCTCTACTGTCTACTGTTGAAACTGGAGTTGGCACTACTGCAGCTTTCCTCATAACTAGGTGGGGGCTCTGGAACACACAGAGGCAAAGAAAAGTAAACGGGACTGGATAAGAGTTTAAGGTTATCTCGGAATTTAACTGTGACTTAATCTACTAGAGATTATAGGCCAGAAAATGCAAAACACATTGCTTAGTCATTTTGGGGAGTGGGGGGGCGCTATCATGGCTTCCATGAGTAGTAGTGAAGTCGAACTCTGGAGCTGAAAATGTGGAAGTGCAAGAAACTGCAGGCCCTTTAATGTCCACATTAAGGCTGGCTGCACATTTTAAATACCCAACTATACAGCATTACAACAGTTTCTTCCTAATCTGGAGTATTTTTATTGTTATTATCTGACAAATTATGTGGACTGCTGTGAATGGAGCCTGGCCGATACAGGACTTTATAAGACTGGTATGTACAGATATTTGGTGATTTAAAAAACAACAACCCAATATCAGCCAATATTTTTAAAACTTGAAGCATGATGATGATGCAACTCATAAATGCCTAATTAGCCATTACACCTTGCAGGTGATTGTCTGGGTGTGGTAGGTTTATTAAGTACTAACCATGAGGGTAGTCAGTAGTGCTGTACTCTGGAGGGAGAATGAGTGAACAGGAAGTGGGGGTTGGAGCAACATTTCCCTCAGTGAAGAAAGGTATGGTGGCTCCTGTGGACAAACAGAAGAGCGGAGCAGATGCATCGGGGGGATTGTGGCTAGGCGGCGCTGCCGCACCAGGTGCGTAGCTGAAGGCGCTGGGAGACATTGTGACTGCCTGGCCTGAGGGATCCTGCTGTGAGTGACTCTTTGTGGGAAGTTCCTCACTGGTAAAGCCTCCTGCACATATATCATCGCCTCGATCCTCCTCCGCTGGCGGAGCGCTGGGCATCACCCCTGCTGCACCCGCTGGACTGGTGGGTGTAGACCTCGTCGGAGACTGGTTTAAAGCGATGTTTCCGATATAGATAGGCAGAGTGACAGCTGCTTCAGGATATCTTAGTGACACCTGTAACACAAACAGAGATCCGTGAAGGGAGCAGCGGGATCAGTCCCTGTTAACTGTGCATTACTCACAGCTAATTTATTTTTTATATTCCCCCCACCCAAGTTGATCCTGTGTCTGTAGAATCTATTCTTTAAAAGTTACCACCCCTTTTGGGTACCCTTAGCAAAGACCCTTTGTTTGTGTAGAAAAGTGTCTGACACCAAGAATTAAAAGCACGTTTAATACGTGCAGCCACCATTTTAACAGCTTAGAAATGACACGAGCCGATTACTTTAATAAGTTCCTCTTAAAGCAGCAGCACTCAAGAACACCAAGAAACTGCAACCTGGAAAGTTTTGCAAATTGCTTCCCCTGGCAAATCGAACCGTTTTGCCAAACTTGCAATCATACTTCAATGTAGCACTGAAAATGGTAAAAAAATATCTTAAATGATGAGTGGGGAAGAAAAAAAATATCAGATGATCTGCTATTAGCTGCAATGGTCATTTGCAAAATATCACAATATCATCATAGAGGAATTTCTGAACTTCTTCCCACTTCAAAAATCTATTGTGACCTACTCATACTTTCACCTTGGACAATCACATGAATTTTTTTGATTCATTTGGATCCTACGATAATTTACTTCTTAAGGTCAACTGTCCATTAAAAGCTTCACTGCTCTATAAGACCTGCAGCTCCACTTTAGTTATTTCCTAATACTTAGATCCAAACTTAGATCCAAAAATCGCTCAGAAAATGAAAAGTTAGAATCTTTATTTGATATTTAAATATTTAGGGTCAAATTTATTTATTATTATTTATTTTAAATGACTTTTTACAGTTAACTTGTAGTACCTTCACAGCCCACCAGATGGCTGCCATCAACACTCTGTGGTCTGATTCAGAAACAATTAGGACGGCATAAAGGAAGTAGAAAAATGAAAAGCTGGAGCTGAAAAGCTTCAACTAACATATGTTAAACCTGCAAAACTGCTATCAACCTGGTATAACACACACACACACACATACACACACACCTGAATGAAATAGATGATGTCTATAAGGTTGCAGCCTGTCAGTTGTGACTGAGGGAGTGGAGGAACGATGATCTGTTCCTTCCACTCTGCATGTTTTCCTGCCTTCACTTTCGCTCCCTCCACCTCTGCAATGGTCCGTAGGTCTACCACAGGCTTGTTAGTCTTGTAGGCCACTCTCTGGTGTGACAAAGTCAAACAATTAGAAGCATGAAAAGATGTAATGGCAAATTCAAACCGCCTCACACACCACTAATGTGAAAGCTCGCAGGATAACTTACTGTTCTAGAAATGATCAAGATAACTGTTTTTATCTGAGGTAAAACGAATTTTATGTGTGTCCACATGAAAAGATTTGTTACTTGAGTGGAAATTCTGGTTTATTCTATTATTATAGAAGGTCTAAGAGTTCTCAGTCCTTCTTAAAGATGATTTACACGAACCAAGGAGGAGTTAAGAAATACTGATATAACTGTCTACATTTAATAACATACCTGTACGAGACTGGCCAGTACACACCCCGTGTCCTTGCCAGATTTGTTGTGGATCTCGGTGAATAACTTGATGACCTGACCGGGGATGTAACCCTTCATGTCACTGCAAACTTTCAGCATCACAGTCCCCGACTTCACCAGGAGGTAGTTGAACTTCTTGGTGGCCACAGCAGAACTGTGATACTGAAGAGGCAGAGTTGTTGAATAAACGTCTGTCTGTCTGTACGTTGGCAGTAATTAAAAAGTTTGGCTAGCAGAAGCTGTGCAGACTCTTTATTGCAGGATAAACAGGAAACTGACAGTCATCAGGAGAAGAGACTTGATTATGAGTAGGAGGGAGAGAACCCTTTCCTGCTCTGCAACGAAATCAAATAAGCTTCGACAAAGATAAAAGTTTATTAAATAAAGAAATGCATTACAGCATTCTTTTCAATCCAGTCCTAAATGCACTGGGCAAGAATCAAAGAGAATAAAGGTGAGATCAAAGTGAAGGAAAACAAATGTGAATCAAGCACTTACAGCAATGTCTGGAACCTCATTGAGGTTAAGCATGTTGAGTAGGTAGAAGGGCTTCTGGATTTTGTAGTCCTTGGAGAAGCGTGGCGTGTCAATAGTCACCTTCACTCGGTAAACTATTTTCCCAAAGGGTCCCTCAAAGGAAGTTGGGACAGTAGCTAAGCAGGAGATTGTGGGGAAAGAAAACACAAACATGAGTGACACTGGGAATTTCAATCCAACCCACATCAATTTCTCAATAAAGCTGTAACTTACATCAAATTCAGAGGGTCATACCTTCACCATACAAGAAAGCTAACAAGCTCAGTAAGACAGAATTTCCCCCCCAAAAAGCAAAAACTGTCTCCATAGGTGACGACTAAGTGGATCACAGGTAAACTATGTGATTAAAAGTCTAACATTTTCAAGTTCTCACACAACCAATGAGTTGTTATATTGCGGCCTGTAAACTATGGCGGGCAGAAACAGCCAATAAATAACATCACATTAAATGTATGAATTTATTTCTACATCTATTTCTGCATTTTCTACATTTTGCTTTTGCATTTCCACAAACTTGTTTGTTTCCTGTTTACAAAGTGTACTTAAGGAGTCAGCATTTCACCTTTGGGTGACTGACACAAATCAAAGGAAATGGCTGCCTCTGGTTAGGAAAAACAAAGAAGTAAATTAGACTGAAAACAATGCTGTTAGTCAGAACTATTGCAATAAAGCAAAAGTACTGGAACAGTAATAGAAAGTACAAGAAATATTTTTTAAAAAGTCATACAAATGTATATATTTCAATGACTAATTTGTGCGAGGGATTCAACGAACGACTCGATAATTTTTTTCCTTTTTAGCATTTTCTATTAAGGATTAGCAAAAACTTTCTTTTAAATTGAAAAAAAGGAAAAAAAGAAGTTTAAGTTCAATACATTTAATTGTAAATTTAAGTTAAAAAAATTTTTAAAAGAAGGACAAAAAGGAAAATTAAATATAGAAATTCTAGAAAATGTCGTATTAATGTGGCTACACTTTATTTTTTGTAGATATTTTCCCCTAGGCAGAGACTGAGCTGAAATCTGTATGCATTCCCTTGGAGATGTCATTAAACTAAGCTTTCAGATGGATTCCTGCAGGTGTCCTTAGTGAAAAAAGGACAGGCCATGTGTCTCAGGAAAAGGACAGTGAAAAAGTGGAAACTGTGAGGGTAAACATAGGAGCGTAGGAAATTCAAGAAGAGGAAAAATAACAATTCTGGGGAGACAGCAGTGAGATAGACAGAAGGGGAGAGATGTTCAGATCCAGTGAAGAGGAAAAAACACCCAAACAACAGGTTCAAAACCTGTTCATGGAGTAATCTGTGTATAAATTTCCAAGCAGAACGCACAGCAAAAGAGTTTAATGTGGTGTCAAAATAATGGCAGAGCCCCCTGGCGCAGTCTCTGTTCTAATGTGTTCCTTGATCCTCATTCAGATGTTAATGCCAGCTGCTCCAGGGACTATCTGCTGCTGCTGCTGCTGTCAATAAGAATTAAGCAGGAGAGGCAGATTGTTGTTGTTTGGTTGCAGACAGCTTGGCAACTAAAATGGAGCCATCACTGGCTGACATCAGGCCGAATTTCCCTGGGGAGTGGGCTGCTCGTGGTTACTGAAAGTGGCTAAGGGTTGTAGAGCCTGTCTTGCTCCTTTGAGTGCAGACAAAATCCATAGACTGGAAACATAAGAGCCTAGAAATAACTTGGCGATGTCAAAGCCCTCCTTATGCAATGTCCGTTCATCTTTTGACCTTAAAGTGGACCCATTATAACTCTTTTTTTTGCTTGGACTCTACTTGAGTAGCTCTGTGTTACTCACAGTTCAAAATAATCCTTATTTAACCTACACTGAGCCTTCGTTCAGCTCCTTAGCTGATTTAACCCTCTCAGGCTCAAATTAAACTTTTTGTTGCTAATGCACAACCAAGTCCTGCAGTGGTACTTCTGAGTAAAAAAAAACTCATAAAATATGTATGTGGGGTAATCAGGTTGTTAGTTTTTAACTGTTGCAAATCGGCAACGCCTGCCTCGAGAGGGTTAAACAAGTCATTTGAGCTTTTCAGCCTTTTAAGCCAACTTTCTTCTAATTGGATGTCCCTCTAAAACAGGTTTGAATAGCTTTAAGATCCCATCTCTTTTATGATTTTCAGAGCCAAGAGTAGAAGAAAAACTGTGTGAAACAGAGCATTTTGTATAAGCTGGAGACTCCATTTGCCCTTAAGAGTGTGTAGTGCCAAAAATTTGCAAAAATAAGCCTCCTCACCAACTGTCATGTATGTATTTTGATTATTGGTGACACTGTTTTTGCGGAAGATTCATTTTTATTATGATGTCTTTTGTACGGTGGTACTTTTGTGACTATTAGAGAAACTTTGAAAAGAATAACAAAGAAAACTTGCTAAGATATTATGATAAATGCTCAATTTTTAAACCACATGTTACAATTCAGGTAGACTCTTTTTTACCATAAAAACTCTTAAGGATCACACTGTTCATTTGAGGGTTTGTTAGCCTCTCTGAGGTACCAGCAGGGGGCAGCAGGAGCCTCTTTATCCTTCAGTTAGCCACCTCTCTGCCTGATATTTAACATGCCCTTCACTGATGTTCTCAAGACTGGTGGGCTGAAAGGAGGGGAGGACAAAGCACGGAGGCATGAAGCCCAATTAAACAGTGACTGCACAAAAGGAGAGGGAACTAAAAATAACCCCCGGCTACCCCCCTTCGTGTGTCAGCCTGTGCCTCAGAGAGGGTGTAAGATACCAGACAGATTGCACAATGTGTGGCCTTACAGGTGCCAAGAATGTTCAGCTGATCTTTAGGGTTATTTACACACTGCAATTTTGTTATCTATCATGAGCAAAAAAAAAAAAACTTTTAGTAGCAATAAAAGTATCAGGAAATAGCGTACCACTCCTAAATCTTTAAACACTGATTACGTAATGTTTTTCCATTCGCCTACACACAAACTGGACCTTAACTGCTTTGTCGACAGGGGTTATCACACCTGCATCAGCATGCACCCTTCGCTGAACTGACCTAGATGGGTGATAAAACAAATCTAAGAAAACTTGTTACGGGAACTGAGGCGGTGCTGGGCACACAGAAGAATGACGTTTCACTCACCTGGAATAACAAACTGGAACGGGAAACTGTGTTCGCCCACTCCAAGGACACCTGTAAAAAAAAGGTTTATATTTATAATGACGCTTTTCTCAAAACACAGATTTTAATAGATCCATTAAGAAGGAGAGAGGCACATACTAATAAATATACATATGCTAAAATCATTATAGTAAAATTAGTAGACAGAAAAAACTGCAAATTAAAGTGAATGTGCTGTAAAATCTCATAATTTATGTCCATATTCTTTCATTAACTTTTAATTTAAGGACACGGCGTGCCGGCTGGGCTCACCTGCTTTCCCAGCAGGATGAGGTTTCTGAGACAAAACAGGCTTTAGCTGAGACGATTACAATTATCTTTTCTAGTGACTTAGACTATTAATGGTTAATAATAAGAAGTGATAAACTGCTGGGTGACACAAGTGGCAAGGTTCGAGGTTCTCTCAGCAATCATTTAAAGGCTTGGCGAGGCGGCAGCAATCAAAGCCAAGCCTTTTCCTTCCATCCCATCACATCTGCAGGCCAGCATCAGTGTGACAAGTATGACCGTTTGGATTGAAGCTAAGATAAGAATGATCCGTGTTTTTTTTTTATTTTTTATAGCTAGCAAATTCCTAAAACAAAAGCCACAGCCCTGAGCTTTATCCTCACGAACTTTTATCTCTGGTTTAAATAAATACAATAAATAAATGTTATTCAAACTCAATCATATAAAGGGTCAGTTTTCCAGAAATGGTTTAAGCCTAGTCCAAGACCATAAACTTTTTTTTCCCCCTCAGTGAAGTTCAACTCTCACCTGAAACCTGCTGGGAGAGGTACACATTTGGTAAACTGGTGCTTACAGCCAGATGGCGCAAGTGAGAGTGGCTGAAGATGAACTACAGCGCATGTTTACTGTAATGAAGGAAAATGTAATCGACTGTGGAACAGCGGGATTCACTGATGCCTTTTTTTATTTGTTTTTGGACAACAATGGAGCTCCGTGGCGCAAAGGAAATGCAGATAAAAGCTCCTAGCCTGCACAGGAAAGCTCATTAGAATGATTACTTCTTTGTTGATTTTGGCCTTGACATGGGGTTTGTTGACAGTATGGAAAAGAAAGAGAATATCCAGTCTCATCTGTTAGCTACTGGTATAATCAGAATCCCACGCAAAGAAAGACTTATATTAAAAGGCAGACAATATTAATTATTTTTCCCATCTCTACTTTTCTCACATTTTTCATGTTTAAATAAGCAAATGAGGCATGAGATTTAAATAAATTTGCATGATTTTCTACAGCAGAAATCAGAACGACACATAAATCCACATAAAGTTCAAAACTGTTGCTTCGCTCTGTCTAGTTGTCTAGGCAACGCTCCAATGTATTTACCACCAGGCACTGTGTCAATCAGCAGTATCTTGTGGTCTCACTGGTAGCTGTTCAAACAGTTGCCTGAAAGTTGAGGGAAAGTTGATCTCAGGTCTCAGAAAGCTGTTCATCCAAGTCTTCTTCAGTCGCCAGTTCAGGCCTGTATGCACTGTGTATTCTGACACCTGTCATCAGAGCCAAATTTGAGCTACAATAGCTCGTCTGTGCATCACTGAGCCTGGGCCGCCCATCAGCCTGTTGCTGGTTCACCACTGCTGCTTCCTTGAACCAGTTTTGATAGATACTGACCAGTGCACCGCAGGAACACCCCACAAAAGCTGCAGTTGAGGGGATGCTCTGACCCAGTCGTCTCCAATTTGGCCTTTTGTCAAACTCTCTAAAATCCTTACAATTTTCCATTTTTCCTGCTTTTAGGACAGAATATCTCCTTTGCTCCATTATATATCCTACCCACTAACCAGCGACATAATGAAGAGATAATCAGTGCTATTAACTTTACCTGTCAGTGGTGAAAACATTGTGCCTGATCGGCGTCACTATAATACATTTTACAGAAGAGAACACACAGAAGAGAGACGCCTCTGGGGTTGTTGTTTTTTTTGTCGTTTGCACAAAAAAAATAAAAAAATAAAAAAATAAAAATCAGAGTTTGACAATTTTGAATAACCTAAAAACCAAAGCGTAGTAAAACTCAATGAACTCAATCAATTCTGATTGAGTTCAAACTTATTTTTCACATGGGCCATCATCACATGCACCATTTACTTTACAAGCTCAGTTAAAACTAATAACTAGATCATAAGGAAACAAAAATCGCCTTTATGTCCCCATCACACTGAGAGCACCTTGAGTCAACCAGCTTATTAATTCTGTAGATGAGCTGGCAGCCCAATTAAATGACTACAGATAGCAACATGTCCCACCTCATTAGGGACGGGCACAACATTTTCCCCTTCAGTCTACGTTTCCTGAGGGAAGTGCTCAGACTGTGTGTGTGTATGCGTGTGTGTGCTTATCACTCAGTCCTGTTTACTGCTAATAGAAACAGTCAGTCTTAACACTGCAGTGCACACACTGCATGCAAACTGGGCCAGGACCACACGAGTGAAAGAATAAAAGACTCTTTAAAAGTCACAAATGAGGAACAACATCAATGATTATCATTATTTAACCTTCTAATAATAATAACAAACATTCATTCTGCTATTAAAACCTAGCAGGACCTATTATCATAAAGAGATTATAAAGTGAGGCTCCAAATGGGCCAATCAACTTGCCTCAATATAGGTTTTTACTGGCCCCAGATCAGTGATAATCCTGAACCCTGTGTTTATTCTAGTTTACTGTATTTTTGTTCAATACCAGTTTTTGTTTTAATCAACTTCATTATTTGCTCTTTTTGGTTAAATAAAGGTTGGATAAATGAAAATAAATATATTTGTTCATCGATATTTTGATCAAGTCCCATGTTGTGCGAGATACTAGGATGACTACACAGACCTGAACTGTGACTATTTCATGTGGTTCACACAGTCTGTGTAGTCAAGGACACAATAAAAGAAAAAAAAAGATAATATTTTGCTTTTAGTGTCGCCTAAGAGCCA